CGAATGCTTTCAGACACTCACGATGTTAGAGAAAGTCGAGTACGCGGCGCGTCCACAATTAGAGATTGATTAACGCTAAGAACTTTACCCCTCCATGGAAAGGTGGAGATCCTTGAAAGCAGCTCTACCAAAAGTGGTCACTCCAAAATGCGGTTTAATGATGCATTTTAGCTTAGATGGAAATGTCAGGCATATACTGCCGGAGTAATCGCTTGAGAGCATTGACCTTTATTTCAAAGGGTTAAATTTGCGTTATCTCTTAGGTGCTAGCAGAAGCACAGAGGACTGATCACTCTTTGAACATTCATAATCATCGCAAAGCTTGCGGTTGTTGCAATGGTGCGCAGTGACCGTTTGAGCCTACTTTGCATACTCTGGAGTATTGCTGACGTCAAAACTCAGACCTCGTCAGAACCACAAATTTTTTGTTTGTGGTAGCCATCGAGTGCTTAACAATTATCATAGAGTCGAGATCTCGGGAAAAATATTCTTTTTTCTTTAATGCTGAACATGGAAACTCGTGTGCGGCGAGTAGTCCAAGCAGTTCTGCTCCTATTTGCTACTGATCATAATTCAGAGTTCTTTAAGGTTTCTTTAATCTGAGCATTAAGGGCTAAGTGTCACGTCAGAATATTGACAGCTTGACCAATTGGATTAACATGTTTCCCAAAAATAGCAAAAGATGCATAATTTTGAATAAAATGGAGTGTTATTCGGTGGCAGTTCTATAACGTTCGTTACCCGTCAAACCTTTACGAAATATTGAATTTTGAAATGATCTAGTGCCCAAAAGAAGGTGTTATGGATCTCCTAAATCAAGTATCTTAGGTTCTGAGGACTGCTCAAACATTGCTGATTCAAAGGTGAAAAAGAACAAAGATGGCAAGCCCCGGAAGCGGTCCCAACATACCAAAGGCAACAAATTGTGGGAGTTTATTCGCGATGCTCTGAAGGACCCGCTCACATGTCCTTCGGTAGTTCGGTGAGTGATAACCAACTCTTTACCTTCCATTATCATCCTAACAAAACATTATGGGCAATGTTCTAGATGGGAAGATCCGATCGAAGGAGTTTTTCGGATAGTTGAATCAGAAAAACTGGCTCGACTATGGGGCGAACGGAAGAACAACACTAAGATGACGTATGAGAAGCTGAGCAGAGCGATGAGGTACATCTTAGTCACACTCTCTTCTAAATTTCTTCTGCGATGGCATAGTTTACTCATTTGCGGATTTGATTTTGCTCAACGCCAACGCGTTCACAGCCGCATTTCCGGGCTATGAAGTCGTTGCATGTGCGGTAGACCCAGCTGTGTTTTATTGTTGTTTTCGTGCGCTATCAGCAATGTTTTCGAGAGCGGTGGTATGCCGCAGTCCACATACACACACAATACCCCTGCCACCCGTGGTTTTTGATCGTTGGCCAACGTCACTACTGAACCAAACATCAGCTTCCCTAGTTATGCGGTCCATAAATTCTCATCATTAGTCCAATGCGAACTATTGGACCTCGATTAGGGATACGAATTCATCTTGAGCATGTTCAATTCTCTATATTCCACCAAGCATGTAGTCTCCCTTATTAATCCACTCATACATCTCGCTATACTAATAACAATTATAGTTTTTTAAAAGCCTCTACAACTATCAAGTTCCAAATGTGAAAATTGCTCCTGATGTTTCTGCTTGCCATCCTTGCATTCACCCATACTCCTATTTAGAACCTACTACGAGAAACAGATTCTCGTCCCTGTGCCAAAGACTGGTCTTTATCCCAAGAAACTCGTGTACAAATTCGGACCGGGTGCTCACGGATGGGATGCTATGAAAGAAGAACTACTATAGGGTAAGTAAAGTAGCACTGTTAACTGCATGTAAGCAACACTAAGCGCTCGTTTGTTCCTGAGTAATGAGCTTCAGCTCGAGGACGAGCATCCGAGCGATGTTTGATGCCCAAGGCATGTATCGATCCAGGCTGTCCCTCAGAAGACCAACCAGACCACCACGCACTAATCGCTGTCCCTCGCACGTGTTCCGCTTCCCGTCGCTGTTCAAAGATCTTTTCTTTTGCGAGATCGGATCTTGTTACGCGCCGCATTTATAGGGCAAGTAAAACCTAGTGTGAGTTCATTACAAAACCCGCTCTGACGAAAACCTACTCATTAATCTTGAAAACGTCTGGTCAAAGATTACTCAGGCAGGAGCGCGTAGTGATGAGTTTGAAGTATTGAGCTGTGGGAGTATATGATCTAGTAAACGATGATAAAAAAAAGCATCTGGCATCTCACAGGCAGCGAAAACAAATGAAGAGCAATATGAATCAACCAATCTCTGGATGATCTTAGAGTATTTTATGATCAAGTGGAGGGAACTTGTTCCTT